GGTCCCAGCATGAAGCATCTTCATGTTTTCAGAGCCACAGCTGCACAGGGCACAGAGAAGAGCAGCCAGAGAACCCCACAGGGGGTGACATGCAGCCACCCGCAGCGCCAGGCACTGACCCGCTCCCAGCTGTTGCTTCCCTGGTGACAAGGGCCATAAGCCACCCCAGGAACAGAAGGGGAGAACACAACACAAAACCGTACCCTGCCCACCCATGGGAGTACGTGCAGCTACCAGGAGTCACTGGACATCTTCACCCAAATTTATTTATTAATAAGGTAACAGCATATTCCAAATTATTACAAGCCTTTACTCATCTTTCCATTGCCATCTCAAGTTTGACTGACACATCAGACTTCTGCAGTAGATGCCAGTGTTTAGGTGCAGATTTAAAATAAAAGCTTAGAGAACAGTATGAACACCACGGTAACGGGTGAGGGTGACGTCAGCTGGAGCCCCAGGGTGGCTCCCAGCCAGGCTGCTCTAGTCTCAAGTTGTAGCAAGTAACAGGGAGACAGGTAAGTAGCACAGCTTACATCAGTTACAGAGCAGCAAGCACAACAGCATTTAAGGTTTCCTAACTGCAGAGGAACTATACAGTATTTTAATCAAACAGATTAATGTCTTACCTCAGGCCTAGATGTAGACTTCCTAGGCTCTGGCACTGGACAACAAGCAAAATACCCAATACATTAAAAGATTTCAAAATTTAAGAGCTCCAGATATATTAAGAAACACTTTTGTTGAAGCCTCCTTTAGTTACTTTAATTTCAGTGCTCCTCTTCCTCTGTTTCTTCTTTCAACCACAATACTAAAAAGAATTCCTCTCAAGGGCTTACACGGTTGGTTCTCACCACTCGGCTCCTGCAAACTCTGATTGTGGCTTAGCCAAGAAAGAAAGCGGCACACGAAACAGCAATAAATTACAGCACAGCTATCCCATTTAAACTACTACTTAAAAAAAAAAAAGATTATAGATGCACAGTGTGAACAGGTGCCTTAGAAAACATGCTTGTGAGCATCAAATGTTTCCCTGCCAGGTGCCCGTCCCCGCATCTGCAGTGGGACCCTTGGGAGCCAGGCACACCACGGAGGCCACCAGCTCCCCCGCAGCTGCAGGTTCCCCCAGCTGTGCTGAAGGCACCGCCGCCCTCGGCATGGGGGGAGGCCAGGCTGCCCCTGCCAAAGCGCCGGCAGGCGG